GAATTGTTTTATGCTGCGCTTTTATAAAGGCAAGTAACAAGAATGGAATTTGACATACACATCATGATGTATATACAAACTAAGTACTTGCAGATTTAGTTGTTCACAGTGGGCAAAAATTCTGCACCAGTTTTCTCTGTCAAAGAGACAAGTGCACCATGTGGCTGAGCAAATTCAATTCAATTCACTATGATTCTAGTTAATTCAATATTAAATCATTATTACGTTCTAAGGGATGTTGACAAAAATACAAAGCACATTTCTTGATTTACAGTATTGATAGTCTGCTGGAAAAAACAAAAGGTAAAGTAGTAGGTAAGCAATCCTGCGGAGTATATGACAGTCATGATAACTCACTTTACCAAACATTTATTAATACTCATTTAGGACTAGGCAAGGGGAGACAGATGAAAATAATCTAAATATCCTGGAAGAACCAAACAAAACTGCTTGTAATTTCTATGGTCAAGATTTCCATTATTTAATTTTTATATGGTTGCTCTGATAACCAAAAGTTTCCCACTTTAAAATCTATAAAATAAACCATCATTCGGTGCTGTCAGTCATTTAATCAGTGAGGCTTGGCATAAGACTGCTACTTCTTACTTTTTGCTAAGACTGCTTAGGTTGGTGCGTCTTTACCTTGATCTTTTCAGTCAATATAGTTCATCTTTAATGTCATCATTTCTATATTATCAAATATTTTTAAAAGACAGCAATAAGTGGGCCACGATAAAACAAATCAAGTTTTAAAAATAGTGAAAATAGCTTGGCATGGTGGCACACATCTATAATCTCGGAACTTCGAGGCTGAGACAGGAAGATTAGCATGAGTTTGAGGCCATTCTGGATGAATTACTGAATGCAGGCCTGCCTCAACTACTTAGAGAGACACTGTCTCAAAAGCCAAACAATCATAGATAACTACTTTTTAAAAATCATTTATTTTTATCTACTTATCTATTTGGTTCAAGGTCTCCCTATACAGCTCAGATGCGTAGAGATCCTCCCACCTCAGCCTCCCCAGAGCTGAGATTACAGGAGTGAGCCACCACACCTGGTTTCAGTAGCCATCATGGTACGCTTGGGGTTCTGGGATGGCATGACCTGTAGTACCAGGGTTGGAACCAGGGTCCTTGTGCTTGCTAGGCAGGCACTTAGGCCACTGAGTTATCTCCCCAGCCTAATCATAAATAAATAAAATAAATGAAAATATATTCTTTCAAAAATAATTTTTCTTAGAAGACAAAAGCTGAGCTAGTGAGTGAGCAAACGCGGGAGGAGCAGGGCGCCCAGGGGGGAGGCACTGCGGCCGCCATTATTCCTTGCTTCTCTGCTGCACGGACCTCGGCATCCTGCCTGATCCCATTTGTTTGCAGTGCATAGATTGGTGTGTCCATTTAATACGAGAAAATGGAAACTGAGCAGCTAGAGGCAACCTTCCCTAACACTGAAACCAATGGTGAATTTGGTAAACGTGCTGCAGAAGATATGGAAGAGGAACAAGCATTTAAAAGATCTAGAAACAATGACGAGATGGTTGAATTATGAATTCTCCTTTGGGGCAAGAATGCTGGGGCAGTGATTGGAAAAGGAAGCAAGAACATTAAAGCTTTCTGCACAGACTACAATGCCAGTGTTTCAGTCCCAGACAGCAGTGCCTGAGCACATATTGAGTATCAGTGCTGATGCTGAAGCAACTGGAGCAATTCTGAAGAAAACCACCCCTACCTTGGAAGAGGGCCTGCAGTTGCCACCACCCACTGCAACCAGCCAGCTCCTGCTCGAATCTGATGCAGCAGAATGCTTAAATTATCAACACTAAAAAGGAAGTGAATCTGACTGTGAGCAACTGTATGCACCATCCCTTCTAGGACTTAATTGTTTGGGTGCTTCTTTCCCTACTCTTTTCCTCATCCTTTTAGTGTGGCTCACTCCCGGTTTCCTGTCCTTAGAGACTGGAACCCTCCCCACTACAACTAGATGACTGTCACTATGTGTCCAGTAACTAAAAAGCATTTTGTGCCTCTACCTTGATCAGCTGGAGACTGAAATACCTAGCAATTGAGACTGTTAATTCATCAGTTTGGCAGGAAGAATTATTGGGGTCAAAGGAGTTAAAATCAAAGAACTTCAAGAGAACACTCAGAAAATAATCTAGTTTTTCCAAGAATGCTGTCCTCATTCCACTGACAGAGCATTTCCTATGCGGGGGAGAGGTAGTTTTGACAAAATGCCTCCTAGCCGAGTTGGGAGTCCTATAACTGCCTCTAGAAGACATTATGATGACATCAGCCATTGTTGGGGACCACCACCCCCTCCTCCTGGTCGAGGTGGCCAGGGTGGTAGCAAAGCTCGGAATCTTCCTCTTCCACCTCCACCACCACCACCACCACCACCACCACCACCACGAGAAGGAGATCTAACTGCCTATGATAGAAGAGGAAGACCTGGAGACTGCTATGATGGCATGGTTGGTTTTAGTGCTGATGAAACCTGGAACTCTGCGGTAGATATGTGGAGCCCATCAAAATGGCAGATGGCATATGAACCACAGGGTGGCTCTGGATATGATTAGTCCTATGCAGGGGTCGTGGCTCATATGGGGATCTCGGTAGAGCTATTATTACTACACAAGTAACTGTTGCCAAAGATTGGCTGGATCTATTGTTGGCAGAGGTGGTCAGCGGATTAAACAAATCCATCACGAGTTGGAAACTTCTATTGCAATTGATGAGCCCTTAGAAGGATCTTAAGACCAGATCATTACCATTAAAGGAACACAGGGCCAGATACAGAACTCACAGTATTTGCTACAGAACAGGGTGAAGTAGTATTGTGGAAAGCTTTTCTAAGACTAGTGAAGAGCTGAAGGAGTCCTACATCTTTTTTTTTATTTGCTTCTGTTTAAAGAACCAACATTCCTCTGCTTCATAGGTGTTCTGCATTTGAGGTGTAGTGAAATCCTTGCTGTTCACCAGATGTAAAGTTTTAGTTCCTTTCAAACAGGGATGGGGGATGGTGTGCAAAAACTAACACTGAAATTTTAAAACAGCTGCAGAGTGAGTGGATTTTATTTTTTGTTCATTGTTGGTGGTTTAAAAAAAATTTTCCCCATGTACTTATTGTGAACACCTTGCTTTGTGTAGTCACTGTAAACATTTGAGGAGTGGGACAGGGAGGAAAGTAACAATGGTCCACATGTCCGTGCGTCTGTGTACAGCAGTGTGTAGAATGTGATGCTTTTTTTCATAATTTTATTGATAAACAGATAGCAATGAGACAGTTTCAAATCAAAGCGGTAGGACAGTTTCAATAACTAACACACTGAAAATATTCTTCTTAGTGGTTAATTGCTGTACAAGATGTGGACTTGAGATCCTATTTACAAACACCATTAGAACAAATCATTCTATTCATTAAGAGAATGTAACTATATATCTATCCTAACCACTTTGAATAAACAGATACAAAATGGACATTCATCTGTATACCCCTTTTTTTCTAAGTTCTGTTATTGTGATGCTCTTTTCTAAGAAACGTTTTGTGGTTTTAAAAATAAATTTAGTATATCTATTTTGGTGGTCATTTTTTTAAATAAAGACAGTCAATTTTCAAATGGTGGCTGAATTTCTCAATGCACCCCTAAACTAAACACTAAGTGATTTTCAGCTCCTCTGTTGGAAGTGAGTGCAGTATATCTCTTAGGTACAGGCAAAATATATTGGCAAATTCAGTTCTGGTGATTTCTCAATGGTTCCAGTTGTTGCTTGGGAAGAATTTCCATCGTACATATCATGCTTATAATGAGCTGGAGGATTTTTGGTTTTGCAAATGCTTGTCCCTACTTTTCAGCAATTTTCTATTAGTGGTAAAGAACCAAGGTGGGCAGCAGTATAAGGAATTGAAAAAAGAATATAAGTATATTCCAGAAGCCTAATTGGCAGTGGGTTTTATTAAAATATCACTTGGTTATGGAATTGGTGGATGCTGAATAAATTCTGATTATTTTTATTACGTTTCTCACCGATAGACTTATTAAACTGTCAACACTTTAGTGTCTATTAGTTAAACTTTGTATAAATATGTATACATGTTTTCCATTGTATGTAAATTACAAGAAAAAGATGTACCATTTCTCTGTTGTATGTGGGATTATGTACGAAATGTTTGTGAACTATCCAAAAACAAGTTTAAAAAAGTCCCTGTGAGTGTTTTATCCAGTATCTTGGCATTTGTACTGATGGTTTAAAAGTTTCTCTACATAATAAAACTCCCATGATGCTAGATTTGATGTGTGCCCAGTTTGAAAAAAGGTTAGTTGACACCTATAAAAATTATTGAAATGTTCCTTTTATGAGGAAATACAGTAATCTTACCAAAAAAAAGATAAAAGTTGAGCGAATTTTAACAAATGATGCTCTTTTCTTTCCACCTATATTGCAATAACTTTAACTGGCTCGTTTTACTTTCTACAAAGCTTTCCCTTTTGTGTCTTACGAAAACTAAGGAACTCAAGCATGTGGAATAGGTTTTATCCTGCAAAAGTGTTGTCGTACGTTTTCTCATGGGTCAGTTTTAATACCACTTGCTTTGTCATAATGTAAAAGACTTAAAATCTTTCTTGTTTTTTTTTTTTTTTTGCTCACTGAACTTAAAAAAAATGTTGTGCCCACAGACATAGACACATACATGTGGCCATTTATATAGTGTGGTAAGTTATTCATTGCTTTCTAAGCTTCAGTTCAAAACTGAAATCTTAATACTTCTTTGATGCAAGAGCTATTTAGCAGAATTAATTTAATAAATGAACTCCTGTATTTAAAATGTTGTATTCACTCCATGGTTTTTCAAACTAGAATTATATTATGTAAATAAAAATTCCCTAGACAAATCTGGAGAATCTAATTTACAGGAGTGTTGATGCCAAAGACCTGTACCTTTCCTGAGTAAACCTGTGAAGTGGAATGCAAATGCCTGTCATTTCATCTGACGCTTACCTTGCCCACGTACTGATAATCCGATCCTGTGTATTCCTCCAGTAAGAAAAACTGATTCCACATCCAGCCACGTTTCTGACGCTGCAGAACTTTGCCGTCGTTCCCTGGTCTGCGTGCATCTAAAACCCTTCGCTGAGGCTCAGGAGTCCTTCTGAACATTATCTCTGGAGAGCACAGATGCGGCAGCCATACCCAGAGTAGGAATAGTCTCAAAAATTGATATATTGTCATAATTTACTTGGTAGCGAATCTCAACACGGAGAAAGAGAAAGAAGTCCTTTTCACTGGACTTGGTTTCACTGTGTTTCAGCTGGTTTCCAACATTTCATCAGTGGTTTGTACATCGCTCCAAAAGCTTCAAATAAACAACAAGCAAACAAAAAAGTCAGTTGACAAAAGTATGAGTTTTTTTTTTTAGTGGCACCAGAGATCGAGCTCAGGACCTTGTGCTTTTTAGGCAAGCCCTGAACCTACTGAGCTATCTCTCCAGCCCCATTCAAAGTATGATTCTCATCTGCCAATTTAAATTTAACATGTCAATAATTTACTAATAATAGTGGACAAAATATTTGCTCTATTTTCATATGATTGGTTTGGGGAAATACTTATTTCACAAAATGTCTAGAATTTAAAAAAATACAATTGTCAATAATTTCAAACAATTTATAAAGAAGCAAAGTGATTTTACTTTCCATTTTCTTTTGGTACTTTAACAGTTTTCAATAATTCTAATTCTTACATGGTGGAGAGATGGATTTTATTTTGAATATAGTTTCTGGTGCAGCTTCACATAAATTAAAACTTTGAAAACAAAATATTAATGCAAATGTACAGCAGAAATCATCCATTACTTGTGAAATATAATGATATTGAAGTTTTTTTTCTTTTTTATTATTGGCATAGTGTCATCAAATTTAATCACATTCATAGGTCAAAGTAAAGTCAGAAACAACAAAACACATTAAAGAAGAAACGTCTCAGTTGAACTCATTTCTCTATCTTTTTCAAGTAGTCTGTGGAGAAACTGGGGATTTCCTTGTGTGTAAAAGAGTTCACTACTTCAGTGAATCAATTCAAAACATAATGTGGGCAGGAAGATCGAGTTATGTCAACTGCTATGCTGTGCATTTCATTTGTTTTTTCTTTTGCTTTTTGAGACAGGGTCTCACTGTGCAGTTCAGGCTGGCCTTGAACTCAGTATTCCAGGCTGGCCACAAACATACATTGATCCTCCTGCCTCTGCCTCCCAAGTGCTGGGATTACGGGAGCGTCCACCACGCCCGGCTGTGTGCTTGTCTTCTAACAAAACTATTTCCACCTATCCATGAAGCCCAAGTCATACTATGGCATTAACCCACTCAGCATTCTCTACCCCTCTTCTGGCCAGTATTTTCCCAACCAAATCTCCAACATAATTCCATCAAAATATAAGATGGATCAAGTCACTTTTCTGCATGGAGTACTCCTTTGGCTTCAGATCTCAGTGTGAGTAAGAATCAATCTACTCAAAAATGTCACACGTAATTGCAGACTCTGTTGACTCTCTCTCTGAGCTGACTCACTTCGGTTCTGCATTTCATTCCTGATCATTTTTTCTCCTTCACAGGGTCCTTGTTTCACCTTGAAACACACTTCCTTCCTGGAGTGTGATCTCTCCATGTTTCCTGGACCTGAATTTTTGATAGCCACTTGAATCCCCTGCATCCTTTAGATCTCCCTGAAGGTTGTTTCATATACTGCATGCCTTTTGTGCATTTAGCATTTATATATTCTGTCACTCTTCTACATGAAGGAAGAGAATTTTAGGCTCTTTTCTATTATTCCCTTCATTGAATCTAGAATACAATTTTGCACATATTAGATATTCAATAACCTACTCAAAAGAATTAACAGTGTAAATTTTAAGTTAATGTAAAACACTGCCATTATTTATTTTATGTTTATAAACTCTACTATTTTTGGATAGAAAAGCATGATTTTACAATATAAATTATTTCATTCCCAATTCATCCTAGAGTAGGATTACTTTTATTTTAAATTTTTTTTGTTGATTTTCAATTTTTTTCTGCAACTGACAGATATTATTTCTATTTGTTGTAAAAAGTGGTTGAAAATCAAAAATATTGAATTACATTTGTCTTACACAGTAATCCATTCCAAGCATTCTGGCATTTATATTTATGCTTTCATCCACAATTATTTGTTAGCAATCTGTTTGCTTTTTCTTTTATTATTAAAAAGATTGAAAGGTTAATGTAAATGGGCTTTAGAGATATGATTAATAGGGGAACATTATTTCCCTTGAGTATATTAAATAACAGTGAAGCTCTGAATAGCATGTGAAGTCATAAAACCTAATAGATACAAACTCTATTAAAATATATCATGTAATACTCTACTTGAAGATTAGAAATTATCTGATGGAAAAATGGTCTTTAATTCCAAAGCACTGACATCACAGAAATAAAAAAGGAGTAGATTTTTAAGTATTAACATTTACCAAACCTGTTTTTTGTGTTTTTTGTGACTTGGGATGTGGTATGTGATTTTTCCTAGAAATTTACAGTATTTGCAAAAGAAGAGTGTCTAATTAAGAGTTTTCACTGACTTTTAAATAAAGTGTTAAGAACTCTTGAAATGAGTCACTCTTATTTCAGATTTTTCTGTCTTTTATCTTAAATCACCAGCAACTGCATTCCATATCTATGATCACTTGAAAAGAAATAAGCTTCCTAGCAATTTAAAAGACAAAGCAGTAATATTTGGGGGAAGGAAGATGTGAAAACTATCTCAAAAATGTGTCAATAAATAATTGGAGCTCTGCCTTACAAATAATAATGTTTTCCACTGTTCCATTATCAGCTATTCAATAATAAATTTACTAGCCAGGGAGATTGCTCAGTAGAATAATACTTGCCTGGCAAGCTCAAGGCCCCAAGTTCAATCCCCAGTAATGTAAATAAATAAATAAGATAAATAAAAATAAACAAATAATAAATTTGTGAAAGAATTTTAGAATAATGTATAATTTAATTAAATATATTTAAAATGTGCTTTCATAAATACTATTTCACAAAAGTGTTTTAAAAAACCCAAGATTCCATAGAAATAACAAGCTTCATGAAGCGATCATGTAATTTTCCCAAAGTGTTTCTCCCCGGGTATGTTCTGCACAGCTAGCGCCTGTATGTAGACGTTTCAGGCATTGCTCAGTCATCATCAGTGTTACAAACAACTATTCTCCCTCAGTTGGAGAACATCCTTGACATTTACACTTAGCTAAGTGGACCTACGAGGTGGTCACTCTGTGCATTTATTGTGCTTGCTTTCTCTTCAAGGGCCACAGCTTTTCTGCCCCTTTCAACGTGCTGAACACTATTTTTAATGATCATTAATGCATGACAAGGAACTTGAAACATACACTGACAGGGTTCCTTAGCCTCAATTTTTCTTATTTAAAATATATCCTACAGGGTGTTAGCTAATTAATTTTCCAAAACCCATTTCACCATGACTGAAATCAATTAAAACTGTTGAACATGTGTACTACTGTGAAGATAACGTCTGAATTTCCTACTTCATTCCAATATCTGTAATAATTTTTAAATTTTTGTTTTATATTACCTTATTTTCATGCTTAAATTACAAACCTAATAAGGTATTTCACATATTCACAAACTACTTTCCTGCTAATTTCTAGGTTTCACCTTGTTCAATTGATTATCCTTATTGAATTTTCCTCAGTAGCAAATACATGCTGAATCTATCTTTATCTAATCCTTGAATTAACTAATTAACTAATGATATTTTTAAGTAGCTTTTTTGAATAGATTGGACTATTTATGATTAATTTAAAAGCTTGATTTTACCATATGAAAACATTATATAAGGGACCCATTGCATTTTTTGAAATTACAAAGTATTTAATTGAAAGGCATCAAATATGTGAAGACCAGCGTACAATACAATGTAATTAGTGTATGTTAACGAAACTAATAAAATCTCTACTGCAGTTCCCAGTTATAAAATGAAGAAATTTATTTCAAACTCTTATTTTCTTATTTTACTCTTACATATAATTGAACATAAAATCACACACAAGATAAGATCTAGTAATCCACCCTTTACATTCTGCAGTCTCATATTTCCTTGTAACAAGTGCTCCTTAAATTTCATTGTAAATTAAGAATTCCTGGGATAATTCTAGCTACTAAAGTTCTCCCTCAGCAAGTCTCAGGGAGTATCCCTGACTCTATTTCCAACTCTCTCAGAGTTAGTTCCAAGGTAGTGAGACCACATAATTTTAACAGTAACACTGTGGACTTCAGTCAAGCCTTAAATCAAAATGTATTTATAACTGTTCTGCGCTTAGTAGTTCAGAGCCTAAATTAAATACTCTGCTAGAGTGATGGGAAAATAAAATACAAGGTGACTGCAGTTCCAA